GTGTGTGCGTGAGTGTGTGTGAGTGTGTGTGTGAGTGTGTGAGAGTGTGTGTGAGTGTGTGTGAGTGTGAGTGTGTGAGTGAGTGTGTGCGTGTGTGTGAGTGTGTGTGAGTGTGTGCGTGTGTGAGTGTGTGCGTGTGTGCGTGTGTGAGTGTGTGTGAGTGTGAGTGTGTGTGTGTGTGCGTGAGTGTGTGTGAGTGTGTGTGTGTGTGTGTGCAGAGATCACGTTATTCACGTGACACGCCCCCCCAGCCCAGGGGGCGTTGGGGGCGCAGACCCGCCCGGCGCTGGTCCAGGGCGTGGGAGACACGGGCGCGGCCGGGGCGCAGGGTGAGTTGTGGGTCCGACCCGCCCCCCGAATTCCCCTTCCCTCCTGTCCCCTCCCGCCACGAGTGGAAACAGCCGAGAGGCGGGGCGTGGTCACGCTCTAGTAGCCACCTCGGCCATCCCCTTGTGGGGAGGAGGGGAGAGACGAGAGGAGGGCGAAGAGCTCTCCCGCCCCTGCTCATCCCCACCACGCGCAACGACGCAGGCTTGCGTGGGCGGAGGGGGCGGAGGGGGCGGAGAACTACAAGTCCCGGCAGGCAGCGCGCACGGCAGCGTAGCGCCCTCCTTCTTCATTGCCTTTCCTTGCCCGGACCGCTTTCGCGAAGATGGACTAGGCTGTCCTTCCTAGTGCGCCGTCCCCTCTGTGGGCCTCCCTCTGAAGCACACGTCGAGGAAGGGCGTTCAGTTCTCCGGGGCGGCCCCAGTTCAAGCGTGAGCGGGACGAGGATTGAGCGACTACAAGGCCCGGCAGCCACCGCGCGCAAACGGTATCGGCAGGCGAGACGAACTACAAGGCCCAGCAGCCACCGCGTTCGACAAGAGGAGGTGGCGGAACGAACTACAAAGTCCAGAAAGCCTCGTACACAGACGAGCAGTTGCAGTTGGAGTGGACTACAAGGCCCGGCAGACCCTGCGCACAAACAGCAGCGGTAGGCGGGGCCGACTACAAGGCCCGGCAGGCGTCGCGCGCAAACATTAGTAGCAGGTGGGGCGGTTACGAGGCGCAGCTGTAGGCAGCGCGGACTACAAGGCCCGGCAGGCCTCGCGCACAAACAGCCGCTGCAGGCGGAGCGGACTACAAGGCCCGGCAGGCCTCGCGCACAAACAGCCGCTGCGGGCGGAGCGGACTACAAGGCCCGGCAGCCATCGCGCACAAACAACAGTGGTCTGTGGGGCAGACTACAAAGCCCAGCAGACCCCCCGCGCACAAACACCAGCGGTAACTGGGGCCGACTACAAGGCCCGGCAGACCCCGCGCGCCGGCAGGAAGAGGAAGGCCTGCGCGACGCACCCGGCAGGCTGCCCGCGGCGCGATGGCGCACGGTGAGAGCGAGGCGGCGGCGGCGGCGGCCGGCGGCTCCCGGGGCCCCGGGTCGCCGGCCCCGGTGTCCTTCGGCTTCAGCCGCACGGCCGGCCGGAAGCGGCTGGCGGAAGGCCGCGAGGGGCAGCCGGAGGAGGAGAAGGACTTCGTGCGGGCCGTGGAGGGGCGGGAGCTGCGCAGCGTGCGGCCGCCCGAGGAGGCGCCCCGGGAGCTGGT